GTCATTTTGCTTCTTCTCCATCTTTGTCCAAAACAACGAACTCAGATTTCATTGTTGATCAACCTATACACATTTGCTTTGCCGATTTCCATGATATAGCAGCTCCACCAATGGTAAATGCATAACCACTACTAAACTTGGAATACTTCATATTGGATATCCAATTCGCATCACAATATCCTTCCAATATCGCAAAATATTATGTGAAATGTAATCCATAGGTTGAGGTATACTTCAAATATCTAAGAACCCTTATTAAAGCTTTCAATTATCATGGCTTGGATTACTAGAGAATCTACTAAGTTTATTCAAAGCAAAAGCTATGATGGGTCGAGTGTAGTTCATAATATACATTAGACTGTTTATCACCTGTGAACACTTTAGTTGTGACACATTCACCCATATTTTTTATTAAGTGTAAGCTTGTCAATAGAGTTTTGGCAGGACTTTCCTCCAACACGTTATACCTCTTAAGTATACTCTCAATGTAGTGAGATTGAAAAAGTACAATTTCTTTCGATATCTAAGAGATCTTAATCCCTATCATCACATCAGCCACACCTATGTTTTTGATAAATGCTTCGTTAGCATTTTCTTAGTGTTTAGCATCATTTTGTGACTATTGCCCACATGGACATTTGGTGTATGTTTTATATATGCATATTTGTTGCACTTGTTTATCTTAAATCCGTTTGACAACATCTTTTTGTCAAATTTTTGGTGCCATTATTTAAGAGCTTATTTCAATCTATACAAGGACTTGACAAGTTTACAAACCTTTTTTTCTGTGATTAGGAAAAACAAACCCTTCGAGTTGTTCCATGTATATCTCCTTTTCAAACTCACCATTTAGGAATGTCATTTTTCACATGCATTTGATGAATCTCAAAGTTATGTATTGGGCAATTGTAATTAACAATCTTACTGAAGTGATTTTTGTCACGAGTGGGTAAATATCAAAGAAATCAAGTCTTTCTTTTTGTATATATCCCTTGATAACTATCTAGCCTTATACTTATCAATGGATCCATCATGTTTCATTTTCTTTTTGAAAATTCATTTACACCCTATAGGCTTGTTTCCAAGAGGTAAGTCAACTAACTCCCACGTATGATTTTGTATTATAAAATCTATCTCACTATTGATAGCTTTTTTTCAACGCAATGCTTCCGGTGTAGACATTGCTTCATCGAAAGTCTTTGGATTATTTTCTACCATATTAGAAAATTTGGGCCAAATGTCGTAGATATCTAGCCCTTTTACTACGCCTTTGTTTTTTCTCATTTGAAATTCCACTTGTAGTATCATAAGTTTACTTATTCAAACTTGCTTTTTCCTTTTCTTTACAAGGAAAAACATTCTCGAAGAATGACGCATTTCATGATTCGATTTTGGTTCCCTCATGTACATCTTGAACTTCAAATTTATGTATAAGAAAATGATATTCACTACTATTATTGATGTATCTAGTAAACATGCAATCAATCATTTTGAGACCAATTTTCACTTATTTAGGCTTAGGGATTTCAACCTTGGCCAAACACCCCCACACTTTCAAGCGTTGGTAGGAAGGTGGATGACATTTCCATAATTCATATGCGGTTTCTTCCATTTTCTTGAGTGGTATCTTGTTAAGAATACTCTTTGTTGTTAAAATAGCTTCCTCCACAAGTTTCGAGGTAAACCCAAAATTAATAACATTGTGTTCATCGTCTCTTTAAGAGTCTGATTTTTTGCTTTAGCTACACCATTCAATTGAGTAGAGTAAGGTGCCGTTTTTGATTAATAATTCCACATTCAGAACAAAATTCTTCAGATGGTGCCCCATATTCTCCACCTCTATCACTATGAATATTCTTTATTTGTTTACCAAGTTGAGTTTCAACTTCCTCCTTATAGCATTTAAATGCATCTAAGGCATCGTCTCTACTTCGTAGTAGAGAGACATAACAATATTTTGTACCATCATCAATGAAAGTTATAAAGTATTTCTTACCACCTTTAGTTTGAACTAATTTCATATCACAAATATCGATATGTATTAGTTCTAAGGGTGTTTTGTTCCTTTGAACTGAGTGAAATGGTGTTTTCGCCAACTTTGCTTCAACGCATACTTTACACTTACAATTAGGATCAATGTCAGGGGCTGGAATTAAACTTTTGATTCATAAGTTTGCACAAAAATTGTAATTTACAAGTCCTAATCGATATGCTACAAACAAGACAACTCAATTGTATAAATGGAATTCGAATTCTTATTCATAATGCTTTGCCTTGGTACAACTGTAAGAATGTTCATTTTGAACATTCCATCACACATGTATCATTTTCCTACTTATATCTCATTCTTAGTGAGTAGAAATTTATCGGATACAAAAATACAAGCTTAAAGTCATTTTTGTTAAGTAAAGACCTGTATACAAGATTCTTGCTAATGTCAGGTGCATGTAGGACATTATTGAGGACGAGTTCTTTATTGAAAGTGATTTTCAAAGTAACTTTCTCTTGTTCTTCAACTTTGAAACGTGCAGAGTTTTCCATGAAGAGTTGTTCTCCATTTAATTCTGGATAGTTAGAGAACACGGTCTTGTCTTTACACATGTGACGGGCAGCACTAGTATCAACTCACAACTCCCTTGAATTTCCAACATTTTACATTTAGAAACAACCGCAGAAAGACTTATTTCTTGTATCCTTTCTGACAAGGTGTCCATTTCAATCATGTTAATTTGGGCGTTCTTCTTCGAATTTTGACATTTACTTGAACGATGTCCAACCTTTCCACTTGTAATAGTTGCCTTTAAACTTCTTGGCTTTCTTGGAGTTGTCTCTTCTCGATGGATCAACGAAGATCTTGCATTTCTTGTTGACAACCTTCGAACCAATTTTAACAAAGTTTGCTCCAAGTTGAACAATAGACCTTCTTTCAGTATTCCTATTGTCTTCTTCAATCCTCAAGTGGACTATAAATTTCTTCAAGTTTATCTCCTTGCGTTTGTTCTTAACATAATTTTTGAAGTCTCTCTACATAGGAGGGCGGTTCTCAATAATGATTGCACCTTGGAAAGATTCGCTTAATTCCATTTTTTTGGCATGTATGTCATGTAGTACAATTTAAAGTTCTTGTACTTTACTTATCACTGTTTTGGAGGCTACCATCTTATAGTCCAAAAACTTGCTAACTATGCACTTTTTTTGACATATTTGGTATTGTACTTCTTTTCCTACCAATCCCATAAATCTTTAGTCAAATCCTTCAAACTATACACTACATATAGTGTATTGTCTAATCTGTTTAGAATATAGTTTTTGTACAAGAAGTTCGAGTACTTCCATGCATCCAATACAATAATCAATTCTTGATAATTCTCTCTTTTTTGTGCCGTTAGTGCAGTCTCTTTCAGAAACTTCACCAAGTTTAGAGTGTAAGATAGAACAACATCTTTTGTTACCATCTCTTGAAGTCCACGCCTCAAAACTTTTTCGATTTTCCTCATGTAGGATCGCAGTAGTTTCAAGTGGTACAGCCAAAGGTAGAACCACATTATTCGCACCATTGATTGTTTGACTTGAAGTCGTCTTCATGGTATTAATTTCTATTACAAAAACAGAAGTTCAATGCAAAAACAATAAGAAGGGAATAGCACGTAAAATTCTATTCCAAAGATGAAGACCACAGGTTTGTATCTACAAAACAACCACAGATAGCATCTTTTTCTTAAGATTGTAGTGCCAGAATATATATGGTGATAAGAGGATTTTTATGTGATAAATGTAATATCAACGTTTAATCTGTAGAAATGCAATTAAACACAACAATATATGGAAAGAACCTTATGGTATATAAATCACAAAGAAAACAGGAAATCAAGAAGAAGAAGAAAAGATCCAAGGTAGGTGAAATATCACTATTTCTTTAAGAAAAAATTGCCCCATAATGATGCTAATAGTTCATGGCACTTGTCTTCCAAGATACAACGGATTCAACTTGTGGTAAAAGCACTTCAAACCTAAAGTTCCAGGGAACTTGAATGGAATTTATCCTCTCTACAAGGAAAAAGATATGGAATGTTTTTTGAAGAGGCTTTGCAAGAGATTTTATGCAGTGCTCAATGCAAAAATGATATGGGATGCATAATGGACATTCAAAGAGTCCATTTATAAAGGATGAGGGATTGTGAGCGAAGTTGTGTATCAAACCTCGCAACTTTACGAGCAGAAGAATCACTTGCTATAGTTAGCCTATTGTTCACGAAATTATTTTTCAATTTAAAACACTGCAAGTGTACGGTTCGTAACAAGTTATAAAGTGAAAAATTTGAGTCCGAATATCGTCCTACAAAAATTTAGTAGTTCAATTTTATATACCGTAGCCTTAACCAAAACGAGATTATCAAAAATGAATTTTTAACCTAATAAACCCTAATTTTGATAAACCCTGATTTTGCTAAAGTGATATTTGAATGAATTAAAAATGCAAAATGATGTATTTAAATGATTTGGAATGCAATATGATAGTTGGAACGCAAGTTGACTTTATTCAATGAGAATTAAACGCACTAGGATTACGAATTCCCATGCATTGATTGCCTTTAACCCTAGTTTCACAATATGACAATACGATTGAATTATTGAAGAATTAATACTCCTAAATCTATCCAACACTCTCTCTCGAGCAATATTGAACCTATTGAATTATTGAAGAATTAATACTCCTAAATCTATCCAACACTCTCTCTCGAGCAATATTGAATCTATTCTCATATACCACCAGCCTATTTCTCTATGACGGATGCATATATATAAGAATGCATGTAATTTTATGAGCACTTAACGATTCATGCATAGAATAAGGGTATATCTCTATCCCCTATCGGATCCTACTAAGATTTATATATTGTCAAATTTATTTCCCTTCTTTCGAATTCAGTAAGTAAATCACCACACATCACATGATTATGTACACTTAATTATGGAAGTCAATTAATGTATATAAATCATTCAAATAATCAAATACGCGTTTTAATGTCGAATTACTAAACTAGAAATCCAAATATTACATCACATGGTTTATCGATCTCCTAATACAAAAATATTTAACCTAACATTGAGAAAATAACAGAATATATGATTTCTTGAGGATAAAACATCACTAGATTATGAATTCATGTGAAATCTCGATTATCTTCATGAAATACTTGGTTACTTTTGCACAAAATCTTTGCCGAGATGTGTTTTGTTACCCCTCATGCATTCTCCCTTGAAATTTGGCAAGTTTAGGTTTATATATCACGTCCTAATTGAGTTGCAAAAGAGTTTTAACAAAAACAGGAAACTGAAGAATCGCGTCAAAAATTCCTACCATGCGCCCACATGGTGTTAACCTATGCGACCGCATGGTACACTTGGTTTTGGTTCTGGAACACCTTGGACCATCTTGTGCAACCGTAAGAAGGTTCTACCATCTGACCGCATGGTAGAAGTCTTCCAATTTCTGCCATTTTGGTCCCCAAACTCTATTTTCTTGTTTATTGGCCTCCTCTCTTCGTCCATCTTGTTCCATCATCTCACTATGATTCCCAATTGATACTTAGCTCATTCAATTTCTTGATTCTTCCTTCGGGTCATCAATTCTTCCAAGCCAGTTTTCCTCTTTTTTCTTTCAACTTTGGACCGCTATTTTTTATTCATTCTGGAATTGGTTTTGAGCTTCCAAATATACTATGATGATCTACTCGATGAGTAGAGCAAGTTAGTCAAGTTACATTTATAATTTAACTATCTAATCAAGTTCGAATATTTGGCCGAAATTGACACGAAAGTCACTTTTTCCACATTTTTTGTTTGAAAATGATGAAATTCAAAATTTAATCTACAAACATACAAACCCCTAAATCATTCGAAAAAGGGAACAAAATGGGGAAAAATACAAAAGAAGATTATGAAAGCAACAGACTTGAACTCAACAAACTCCAAAGGATGTCGAATATTGTAGTATTTTGGGAATGATCTCTTAAAACCTCGAACAACAAGAACAAAAGAAAAAAATCAACTAATTATTACCAATAAGATTTATTGAACAATAAAATTTGAGATATAGAGATCTGAGCTAATGTAGAACTGAACTTTATTTATATCTTCTAACTATCAATCTTAGACCTTGTTAAAATACTCATATTTCATGTTTCCAAGGCCAAATACTTCATAATAAAGATTCTTAATCCAGTCACCTCTCTCTTCTCCCTGCATCGCATATAAAAATTAACCTAAATCTAATGCAGAGTCCTATGGAGAATGTAACTCTCAATAATTATACTTTACCTATGCAAACCACTTGTAGAACCTTGCTGCATTGTTGGTAGGCTTGCCATCTCCGTATCTGAAACCACCAACCAAATCAATGGAAATCAATGAGAAAATGGATACAAACAATTCATTGATTATCTGATTTCACAGATTATGTACACATAATTTGTTTCACCCATAAATATAAGAAGTATTTTTATGCAACTAAGAACAATGCTACACGAAAACTATGTGGCTAAGAAGAAGAATGCTAAACTTTCTTTCTTTAACTTTTCCTTGTACTCATCATCATCTCCTACATAATCATCCTAACAACAAATAAAAAGATCAATCAAGTGAGCACAACATCATGATCAAAGCTTTAAATAGTAGAATAGAAACAACATAAGAACACAAAAAGAAACATCAAAATGGACAAAAAAAAAAAACTCACAAAATCAATTACTTTAAATATAGCCTTGTCATATCTAGCTTTACTTTCCAGATCAATTTCCTATGCAAAGAAAAAAAAAATACATGTAAAGGGAAAAAAAGAGAGAATTTCTAAAACTATCATAATGAAGTTTTTATCCTAGCAAAGCCTTCTGTGGTACTAGTCTGAGTTTCGATGAGGATATTGCCCTTCTTCAACTTCCTCTGGCTCCACCATCACCTCGGGACCTGTCACTTTATGCGTCATGCCAATAATTAAGAGAGAGGGTGCTTTTGACACATAGTTTGGAATTATAAACGTTCAAAACTATGCACATTTTAATGTAACATTGGGAATTAACAAATAGACAAATTTGGAGCACCTATTTCAATATTGACTTGAACCATGGTTTACTAATAAATTGCAATTTTGTCCATCTCTCTCACCTTAACAAGGATCTCATGCTTTACTCTGGACATTGTCATCACTTTCCTAATAAAAAGTCTCTCAAGCATAGCTCTCTCTCTCTAGGATATTTAGAGTAAGTGAGCTTTTGAAGCGATGAAATATTTTAGGTGCATAGATAAAAATATAGAAACCAAATTTCTGAATGTGCAATTTTGAAATAAAATTAACTAGTAGCAGTGGAGAAATATGAGGAAAACTACTTTTGTATTCTATAAATATCATGGCATTAATGCAACTCCGTCCCTATAAATTAAGGTATATCTTGTACCTCTCTTTTGGATTAACTTCATCCAAAAATTCATTGTTCTCATATAAATAGCTGTTCATCGGATGGCACTTGATATTACACAATTAAATTAGCATTCCTTACATCTCTATTCTTTTCTATGTGCCAGAAATGCATCTACTTGTACTAAGGATACACATAGGTTTTCCCGCTGATCTTACAAAGTAAGCACTATATTTAGAGTTGTAATTTTATCAAAGAGACAACTGAGCTATTGAGCAACTAAGTTACAGCTTAAATGAACTCAATAAGCTTCCCTTTTCTATTTCTGCTTGGAAAAAAAAAAAAAAAAACTAAGATATTAATGGGCAATGTATTAAAAGAAACATCAATTGGAAGCTCAATCCAATCTCAATAAAATTAATTTTTAATATCAATGAAAGTTAGTATACCACAAATGGAAAAGACGCCAAAGGTAATCCCTAGAGCCCTTGAAAATGCCAATTGCCTAATCTTTGCCCCTATCAATTGTTTAATTAAAATAACCAGTTTACGAAAGAGTTATTAAAATAAAATCAACCAAAAGCTATTTCCCCTAAAAAAATAAAATCAATAATCTTTAAATTGCATTCAAAAACCTAAATGAAAATTATCTCCAAAGTATTTGAAGAAGTAGGGTTGGCAATCCTTTTCATCACTAGAACACCTACAAAATCACTGCTTGCATCTTGATGGATCGAACACAGTCATAGACGGTAGCCACTCCATCCTCTCTAAACCAAACAATAACCCACTACCAATTGTGTTCAGTTCTTGCACTACAGCTCCAAAAAGGGGGAAAATCTATACAAAAAGAAGAAATTGAAGCATGATAATTATACTTTCAGATATATGTTTCACTTCCTGCAAATTATTTCAAATCAATGAAGATAATACAAAGGCTTCACTATCGATGCAACTGAGATCTACCGTGGAGTGACTAAGAATTTAAACCGAGAAAATGGTGTCGTTGACTTGTCAAGAAGTAAGTTGGAGCTCGATCTATGGCGATTTCGACTCCAATAAGTGTACGCGGCCAGAGCTGGCTATCCGCGGCTTATGACAACAGGGAGCTAGCCGTGATGGTACCAAAGGGTACGGAGGAGGAGGACGACAGTAGAGGTGGAGGCGAAGATGACGACGTAGATGATGGAGATATTGGCACTGAGAGGCTTATTTCTGTACAGTAAAAATTACTTCATTCCCCTCCACTTGGATTAATTTCGGGCTTCTTTGATTTAGTGGGAGAGAAGGAGTGGTCGATTGCATAGAGGAATGGAGAGAGGGACAAATGAGTACCGAAAGAATGGTCTCACCGAATCGAGCGGTTCATCTTAAATTAAATATTCGAATGGGTATTTGAATGAAAAATCAACGAGTTTAGTTCGGTTCGGTACTCGATTCTAGATCAAGAATCGAAAAACCAAATAAGAACATAATCTCTCTAATTTTTTAATTAATTTATTTTAAATAAGTCATTATTTTATTTTTCTAAATAAATTTGCTAACTAGTTAACTTAGCTAAAACCCAAAAATATGATTTTTCTATTTCTAATTTTTAACTCAAAGTCAATATAATCAAATTGACCTATATTATAGTCAAATATGTTATTCTACTGTAGTGTCATTTCTACCGTTCTAAAGAAATCTAATTGAAGCTCGATAACACTTCTCTTAATTATTTTGAGCTCGCTATTTTCATTTTCCTATGATTTTAACAATCAAATCTTTGAAGAACTCAACAAGAGACACAAAGACAGATAAGATTGGACCACGTTATTTTGTAAGAGTTGAGATTAAACATATCATTAATTGAATTAATTTAACTTTGTAAATATTAAAAATTTAATTATAATACTGTACCGGGAAATATAATGGATTAGCAAGAAAGCGTGAAATATCAAACACGTAGCACAAACCCACCAAACTTGCTTCAAGATACATGTATAACATGTTATACATATTTATGAAATTAGGGTCAAGATATATTAATATTGCAAAAATATAAAAAACCAACAAAACTAGGATCAAATATGCTCTTTTGTTCAATTACGCCCATGACCAAGTGAAGACTTTCACCCCCGGGCATCACCGAGAAATCTTTTCTGTGGTGAGGTTGACCTTGCTTGGGTTCGCTTTCCCTTCTGACTATGTAAAATTTTCCCGAGCAACCTCTGGACAAATGGAAGCTTTCATGTTGGTGTAAGCTTTCATGTTGGCGTAGCACGTAGTCAAATTTTAGATCATTTGGGTTGTCAAAATGTGGGGCAAAGTAGGGGACGTGATGTGCCATGACTTAGTCATTCTTGTGCCTAGTTATGTTCAATTTGATTGGTAAGGGTTATTCCCTAAATTTCCATAGGCATTTATTACAACATGCAATTCAATTTCACTATCAATTATCTAAAGTGCAAAATTCATAAAAATGAATGTAACATTTCACTTAGGTAATTCATCGAACACATAGGGAGCACAAGTAGTTTTCCCTAACTTTTGGCAATGCATAATTGCGAATTTCAACTCCATTATTCAAGATCCATTGACAAGCCAACACATCACGACATACAATGCCCCTAGTCCATCAAACAACCCGAGAAAACAAGATGCCCCAAATTTCGAAATTGATAAATTAGGGATGAGAAGCTTTATCTTGTAAACCAAATGGTGGAGTGTAATGATATGCAATCAATGTCAAACCAGGTGAATTTTGAGGAGTTGAAGTTGAATATTAATCCTTGATTAGGCTGTGTGCATGAGTGTGCAAGTGTTCTAATTGAAAGTGGAGAGGATGGTGTGTGAGAGCCGTGTGTGTTAAGGTCGTGTGTTGGGTGATGGGAGGATGTGTGAAGTGAAGAGCCAAGTTACGAGTTAAAACCCGTAACTGACTCTACTATGCGACCGTATGGTGTTAAACCATGCGGTCACATAGTATCATGCCTTGCCCCC